TAAGCTGAGTAGTATTTTACTATGGCTTAGAGTGGCACTCTATAAACTGCTCTGGCTTACAGGCAGCTTCTGTCATGTTGTCTTGAGATCAAGGAGAAATCCTGTCAAAGCTCCTCCCCAGCTGTAGAGGAAGAAGACTGCTGGGCTATGTCAAAGACTGACTACTTTCAAACAAGTCAAAGCTGTGCTCATTTTTTGAGGAGCAGAGACCTCAAAAAGAGTAATAAGATTTTCTGCCTATGATCTGCCTGCCCCATCTCCAAGTAGGAGGGGAGGAATGGTACCATAAAGCCTCCCAGCTCTGTGCATGTTTATATTACCCTAACTAAAATAAAAGGAAACAGTCCTGCATGTTGGGTTCCTTCTCAGATTTACAGGGCAAGGAACAACGTCCATTTCTCTCAACAGCCTCCAGTGAAATCATAGAATCACAGAAAACTTTGGAAGGCACCTAAAGAATCACCTGGTTCCAACTCATCTGCAGTGTCCAGGGGCACCTTTCACTAGACCAGGTTTCCCAGAGATCCATCCAGCCTGGCCTTGAACACTTCCAAGCATGGGGCATCCACAACTTCCTTGGGCAACTGATGCCGGTGCCTCACCACTGTCTCAGAAAAGAATGTGTTCCTTTTATCAAATGTAAACCAGCCCTCTTTCCATTTGCTGCCATTATCCCTTGTCCTGTCACTACATGCTCTTGTACACGCCCCTCTCCAGCCTTCTTAGCAGCTCCCTTTAGGTACTGGAAGGCCACAATTAGACCACCCCAGACCTTTCTCTTCTCCAGGCTGAACAACCTCAAGTCACTCAGCTTGCCCTCACATGAGAGGTACCCCATCCCTCTGATCATCTTCTGGAAGTCATGGCGACTGACTCATTGTGTAAGCCTAGCTAGCCTAAGTCTACCACTTGCTTGAGAAAGCATGGCAGAATTCAGCCTTGTAAACTACTTGTGCTGGGCCAGGTGGAGACTCTACCCCTTCCCCTTCTGACAGCCATCACTTCCACAGTGCACAATTTAATGTTGAAATACTCATTGGGAAAGTATATAAGGGTCAAGGAAACAAAGAAATAGATTGGGTGAGTCAGGATAGACTGCTAGATAGATAGACTGCTCCCAAATTTCATTTTGAGTTCAAGTGAAGAGTCAAGACTATTTGAAGGTAATTTGTAAAGTCAAAGTATTTGTGGTAGTGGTAGGTGGTGCAAAAAGGGCCAGTGCTCACCACTGTACTTTGGAATGTTAGGGCAACCATCTTCCCCAGGGAGATAGTGCAACACCTGAGCAAGTTACCCAAGAACTCCATCCTTGGAGGTTTTTAATATTTACCTAACAAAACTGTGTCTGTCTAGTCTAGTGCTGAAGATTATCCAGCTTTGAGCAGGCAGTGGAACTAAGCAGCTCCAAAGGTTCTTTCCCACCAGCACTGCTGTGATTTGGCAGGCTCTGATGGACAAAGTTAAGGCATGAGAGGAAGACACCATCCTTCACTGTGTCTACAGGCAGTCCTACATTCTCTGTCAGCCACATCTGGTGCTGCTCCTGTGCTTAACCTGCTGAAAACCAGAGTGCAGGGTGAGGACCGCTGGGAGAATGGTGTTTGCTGATACAGTCAGGTCTTGGCCTGACACTGAATTGCTTTGCAGTCCCTGCTGATTTTAGTTATCTTCAGTGCCAAATGAATGTCATACTAAACCAGATTGTTCTGGTTTGGTATGAGGACGTATATAACAGTTAATTGATAATAATGAATTTTGAATGGACAATGTTGGGACTTGCCTTCATATAAGTTGTGAGACATCTGCTGTCACTGGAGTCACTGGCAGGATTTTGCTAGCCAGGGAAGAAAGGACTGGTCTCAGCAAACTGCGTGGACCCCTTGACAAACAAGCTCAGTGCAGCTGTTCCCTGTGTATGTCACCCACTAGTGGGTGGAAAAGAGGGTTCCTTGCACAGTTAGCTGGAGTGAAAGTACCTGTAGAAAGAATCTGCATATATTACATCACTGTATAAATTATTGAGCTGATGTTCTGGAGATAATAGAGGAAACCCTTTCTTTCTTCTGTCCTAAGGATGGCAGCTCTGAAAGTTTACACCTGCTTCCTGGAAGTTGTACCTCCTGTAGACTCTGTTTAGATAATTAATTTGCAATATTCATTAACCAGAGGATCAGTGTAATAATATATAGACAAACAGAAGGATTTCATGCTTATATATTGAGTCAGCTGTGGGTTTTTTTCTGGTCGTGGGTGAAACTGCTGTTGAATAAATGGCAAAAACCCACATAAACCCAAAACCAAAAAACAACAAAGTATTTTGATGTTTATCTGTATATTTCTGAGCAATAGTTATAATCATTAGTGAATCACAGGCAAGACAGAACCATGTGGCTGTAGCTGCATTAGGAGCTGTGTGCTTTTTCTTCTCATCTGCAGACACAGAGGATTCCCAGAACTGAGTGGGAGAGATATGCTGTGCCTGATATCACTCATGTTCTTCTCTCATATGCTCTATATGATCCAGCTAGACCCCAGAGTTTATAGGAGGACAGAAGTACAAGGACAACTCGTGCACAAAATCAGCCACACATGAGCTTTCCCCAAAAAGAGAAGAGGTATGGAGAGCAGCTTTCCTCCTTGCTTTGCTCTGATTCCAGGAGAGATATGTTCCTCTTGTTCCTCTGGTTTCTACCTTAACCATTTTTAATAATTCCCTGAGTGCTGGCTTGCCCTTCCCTGGTGAGTACTCCTGACCACAGGGATGGCAGTTGCAGGTGTATGCCCCGCACACAGCACCGTGCATGCCCACAGGGACCTCTAGCCAGAAGGGCCTGCCTATTTTGGAAAGGAAACTTTACACATGGTCACTTCCCTTATCACTGGGATCCAGTATTTTTTTGTGTTCCACCCCCTCTTCTTCCCTGCCTTTTTCCCCAGAGGTCCACACAAGACCCCCAGGTTGTGGAGACTTGTCTCAACAGCACAGGCAGAAGAAGCCCGTTTGAAGGCACAGGAGGCAGGCAGGGGTGTGGGCTGAGATATATGGTAGTAGTCAAAATTAGGAGTGCTTGGAGGACTTCAGAGCTAGAAACAATGCTCACCTAATTCTCTTTCCCTCTGCTGGAATGAAATAAGGAAGGAGCTGCAGCTCCGTGCCCTGTTCATCTGCACAGTTGTGCTTGCTGGACAAATGTGTGCAGCTTGTATAAGGCTTTATTAAGGGAAGCTAAACTCTCAAGCAAACTCACAAGTAGTTTTCTGTTTCATGTGTCTGTCATGAAAGCCCTGTTCATTTGTTATTTGGGGTGGTAAGCCCTACCGTGGTGAAGCTCCTGTTTCCTGCATCCCTCAGCCATCACTCCCAGCATGAACAAGTTCCTGGAGCTGAGGCAGAAGACACTTATTGCTCTTCTGAGGCCTGGTCATTTATTCAGAGAAAGAATGCTGGACTACAGTTTTTGTGCAGTACTGTAAAAATGAAGCCAAGACTAGTTCAATGTACACTGTAATTTCAGGCACACCTTCCACTGAAACTGGTTCCCTGATTTCCTCCTGAGGATTCATTTACTACAGCAAGAATTTCATTTGTTAGGAGACAATGTTTTAGGTGTATGGAGATGTCTGACAATTAAAGTAGATGTCTCAGGGGATATGTGGCAATCTCACGTCCAAGCTTACCCCAGGTACCCAGGTACCCTTCAACTCTGGCTTCCAGCACTGAGGCACTTAGACTGTAGAAATGCTGAAAGACAGATTAGAAAGTTCTTTTAAAAATGGTGGAATGTTGTTATATATCGAAGTGATGATTATTGGCATTTTCTAATTTTGACCTTCAAGGCCCTGAATTGGCATATTTGTAAAAGGTCAAATGATAAAAGGTATCCCATGTGTTCCAAATACAGCCTTTACTCTGGCTGGTGAATATTTTAGTGACCCAGTTACAGCAAGAGGCTTTTATTGAACAGACTAGGCAAATGCAGAGGGAAACAGAAAACCCGTCATCCCTGAGACAATTATACGTCTGTCTCTATTTGTGTAATCCACCCTCTCAGCCTGATAAACAAGAGCCTGTGCATGGGTTTTGAAGGGAAGGTGACCACCACCTCCTGCGATCTGCATATTTTCTTGTGTACACCTCTGTAGCCTGTAAAGCAGGTAAGTCTTAACCTCTGCATGATGATATTGTTTAGGACTCCAGTCCTACCCTGAAGTCCATTCTGGCTTTTTAATCTTTCTCCGGGGCTTATTCAACATGTTTCACTTGTACTTGATTTTTACTTTCAGTAACTTTTAGAGTCCACTACTTTGCAAGTAATTGCATTTCCATCTGGTGTGGTTTTTTTGTTGTTGGGTTTTTTTTGTTTTTGGTTTGTTTTTTTTTTTTATGTTGGTTCCCCCGTGTACCTTCTTACTGTATGCTCAGTGAAGCAAACCATGGGGATGACCAGCTCACACATGATTACTGCAGGCAATTTATAGGAAAAAGGCTCAGCCCAAGCAAATATGACTGAACAAATTGACAGATGATACTTATTTTTTATTACGGATGATCTTCCTCTGACCCTCTTTAAACTGGTGTGGAGCTTTCTATATAAATGCACTTTCACAGATAGAACTTTTTGAAGAGATTTTCTTGAGAAAATTTTTAAATTAGCAGGTAGGAAAGTATGCCTTCATTTTTCCTGTATTTTCAGGTATAGGCACAAAATATTTCCTTTTACAGCAGCTTTATAAAATGGATACACAGTAGATTATTTTCTTAAATAAAAATATTTTCTTTCCATTTACCTTTTTGAAGTAATTGCTTATGAGTTTAGGACCATGGGTGTTTTTTTATTACAGTCCATCCCTGCTCACACACAGCTAACAGGATGGATGAATTGAAAGCTTAACTTTTAGCCTAACAATTTCTGTCTTCATGTGGCCCTCCTTCCCTTCCCAGAGACTGGCCTTTGGTTTGACTCCTGTGCAATGTCAGTGACCATCTCTTTGCCCCACAGCTCTCCTGCTCACTGCTATGACCACTCCACTGGAAGATGCAATGGACACCCTGATCAGGATTTTCCATCACTACTCGGGCAAAGAAGGAGACAGATACAAGCTCAGTAAAGGAGAACTGAAGGAGCTCCTCACCAGTGAGCTCACTGACTTCCTTTCAGTAAGACGCAGCTTTTGAATCTCCTGAGTGACTGTATCATGAGTGGGTTAAACAGCTATCCAAGTGCCTGAATAGAAATAGCACCTCCTTGTGGAGCTGTACGGAAGAATATGATGTCAAATGTCTCATTTGAGAAATAGGTTTTCAGAGAGTGGTCAAGCCCTGGTATCCTCCCATGTACCACTGGCAGCAGAGATGGGTACTGCTGCTCTGCAAACTCCACAGTGCTTTTGAGCAAGAGGGCTAGGCCAGCCTAGAAGCAGCACAAGATCAATGCTAAATAGTGGTCAGTTAGTTTTTTTGTTTCTTTGTTTGTTTGTTTTTAATAATAGAGCATAGATAAATCCATTGAAGAATTAAATGCAGCAACCAGTTTTCATGAGACAGGAAAATAGCTTGTGCACACTGGCCACACAGTACTGCTGTTTGTGTGCCCTGCAGAGAGGTGCTAAGGAATCATTTCAATGATAAGCTGCTGATTTGAATATCTCTTTGCATGTTTGTTATGTTCTACATTACACAGCATAAATGCTTTTATGGAATCGTAAGCTTTAAAAATAATGTTTTTATGTATCCACTTAATTGTAAAAATTATTGTGGACCCTGTCCCAGAAGGATTTTCTTTACATTGCATCCATTTCCTTGAACTGGATTTTCTTTTAATCTTGGCTATTGATTTATTATTATGAGATTCAATGATCTTGCTCCCATTGAATAGAATGGTTTTTTGCCATGCAGAAGTCTTCTGAATTTGATGAATGGAGATATAATATGACTATTTATGAGTGTTCTGTTGGAAATCTAAGTGCTGTTTGTCAAGGGATGATACAGAGAAATGCACTTTACAGGTGCACCTTGACAAAAGAAATCCATGTTCTGTACCTCCTAAAATCTGATTCATTTCAGTCCCTATTTATAACCTGTATACATTTTAAGGGCTGCACTGTCTTTAGTTTCTGATGTTGTGGTGACTAGAGATGTATTACTGTTCAGGTGCATATTTGATGCAGCCTTTTATTTAATAACACCAGCCTTGTAACAAAGCAGTGGTGCTAGGCGTGTCAGAATTGCACATTCAAGACTTGCACAGCTAAGTCACTTTTCTTTCTCTCTAGGGCCAAAAGGACCCCCTCCTGGTTGATAAAATTATGAATGACCTGGACTCCAATAAGGACAATGAAGTGGATTTTAATGAATTTGTCATTTTAGTTGCTGCTTTAACAGTGGCATGTAATGACTTCTTTGAAGAACAGCTAAAGAAAGAGGAATTTTAAAAATCCTCGGTATAATCAATTTCCTGGCCACAAATGCAAGCAAGGCATGCCTAGTTAGGTAGCCCTCATTGGTGTTTAGTGAATGTAAACCATAATTCCTCCAACTGTTTCTGCTCTAAGACATTTATGGAGTTAATCAGCAGCTGGTGTAAGCTGGACCACAGCCAGCTTACACTACTTGAGATGTGTAATATTTCCAGTCTTTGCAGTCCATGCATCTGCAACATGCCTTCATCAGTTGCCCAGGTCAAGGGCTTGGGGTGACAGATCATTTGGCACAAGCTGAGACTTCCATTTCTTCAATGTCAGTGGAAAGTAAAAGGCATAGGAATGTTACTTAGATACTATCTGAATGAAAAAAATTTGAAATGAGACATAACATTTGCAATTTAATTTTCAGTCATTTTATAATAATCTTATTTTGCAGCTCAAAACCAGTAGATTCTTTTTAGCCCAGTTCTGCTTATTCTAAAACCTTTGTTAGCTGTTGCTCCAAACACTCATATTTCAGATGTGGTCACAGCTGTCTCTTGCTGCTGGAGCATACAATACTGCTTGCCATTATTATGGGTTCATTTCCTCCTGTCTCCAGCTTCAATTTTGTTCTGTTGGCATTGCTGCATCCCAGTAGTCAACCTCTTCACTTGGCATAAATGAATTTACTCGTATCATAAATTATTCAAATACATAGTGAATTTAGTCAGCAAATTGCTTGGAGAGCTGATGGAAGGACTGGGTCTGTGGGGGAAATGTGTAAATGCCTTCTGCTTTGACTACTTTGGCATGGTTAAAAGGAGGCCTTTTAGGACCACTTGTGGAAGATTTAATTATGAAATTCCAGGGTACAACTTTGCAATGTGAGTCATCTTATGGAAAAACAATTATTTCATCTCTACACTGACCCCCACCCTGTATGGAAGAAGGGGTTCCCTGAGCCCCATGGGCAGGTAAAGAGAAAGTAGGCCAGCCCTTACAGTGTTAGCTTGCTCTTGGGTTGAGTTAAGAGTATTTACACACTCCTGTTTGAATTAAGCATACTTCTGAAGCCCTGCAAGTCCTCAGTGGCAGGATATTGTGGCTTTTTTTCCTGCATGGAGAGCTCTCTTATTTCCTTGGTTTTTTGCTGGTAACTTCAAACTATAATAAAGGGCATCTGAGCTAAATGAAGAATTTCTGTTTGTGTAAGACATTATTAAAAAACCACTCACCAATGAAGATGTGCCCTGCTAGGCAACATTTGAGGAACGTAGTTCACTTGTCTCTCCTTCCCAGGCATCCAAACATCATTTAGCAAAGTGCACATTTGTATGAAATTACATATGATTAAGAATAAGTAATTTATTATAAGCAGGAGACTTTGCAGGATGTAGTAAGTGTAATAAAGGGCAGGCATCATCCGAAGAAGGGGGCCACCACCAATGGTGTTATCCCAGAAGAAAAACAAACTGCAATGGTGACAGTGCCATAGCATACTTTAATCCTTCAACAACAAAGTTATACAGGATTCACACAGTATCTTCTAGGCCAACAGGACAGAAAGTACAAAAGTAAAACCAGCAACAACTGGACAAGTTTTTGTCCCCTTTAATGTCATGCACCTCAATGTCATTGCAAGTGTTGCACAAGGATGGCAAAAGTATCAGCCAGAAAGCATCAGACCATTTTTATGGTTTCTCATGGGCCCCAGACTGTTGCTAGCCAGTAAGCCTTTCCCTGTCCTCCAAGGGGAAGTGAGAGAAGAGATGTTTAAAGCTTCAACTCCAAGCTAAAATGAGTAAGGTTATCCCAGTAAAAACCAGTTCCTTCTTAAAAAAAAATGGAACAAGAATCTTTCTGGAAGGAAGCTCAGAAAGAAGCCCATCCCTGGCGAACCCTTGTACATGTAGCAGCCCATGTGCATAGCAGAATTATGCTGGGTCACAGCTGGCAGCAACAATTTGCCCTGGAGTCAGGCAGCAAGAGTCATTGCTGCGGTGGAGAGGGCCAGCAGAGCCACCTCATCAGCTGAATTTACTAGGGATTGTGTGCATCCAAACTGCTCTGTGGAAGGGGCTTACTTGCAGATGAGCTGCGGGAGAATCAGAGGAGAATCACTCAAAGTATCTTTTTTCCACCAAAGTTTCATAAAATCTCATAAATCACTGTTTTTAGCTTGTCTTGTAAGGTATTTCTTTGTTGCTGTTTTACTGCAAGGATAAATATTAAACTCTGTCTTTCTGTCAGAAGAAACCTTTTTGTACAAAGACTGGAAACCAAGCAGAAAAGTAAGAAAATGCACAAAACATATTCAAAAGCTCAAACCCACAAAGCCTTCACACAATATGGGGCCCTGGGGTAAGACTAGCCATTCTTGGGCTACCAATGGGCTGATCCATTGCACCAGTGGCCCTCTCTCACTCCTCTCCCACAGGAGCCAAGTAATGCTCCATTAGAACATTAGTTGTTACAGTAGACATTGCTTCTAAGATATATGAGGATCACCTGAAAGTTTTGAATTGCCTCTGAACCAGAAAAAAACCAAGAGTAATCCACTGTTCTGCAAGCACTCCTCAGGAAGGAAAATGGCATTGAAAGCACTGGCAGTGGCTATGCAAGAGGGTGCATACAAGGCCAACCTCACTATGAACATGAGTGCTGCAGATGTGAACTGCTTGGGGTTTTCATTCTCTCTTTCAGACCTGAAGGCAGGATTTTTTTTCTCATTGTTTACTGACATTTTCCTGCTGACTTCAAGTCTTTCTGTAGTTCATGGATCTAGGCAGCACTTTGAAATTTTACATGCAGATCAAGCTTGCAGATCAAGCAAGCTTGTGGCTTTCTCCAGAGTGCCTCAGCATTAGGAATTATGTCTAATTACAGACATTTTTTCCACTTTTTATATCAGGCTGTCTTAAAAACCTATAGAAAATTGAACACCAAAATATGGCCTAATATTTTGAAGTTACATCAAAGACCAATAAAAATACAACAAAGCCAGACAAGATCTTTTCTATATATTGTGAAATTGCTTTGCTTGACATCTAAAGAGCAGATTTGCAGAAGATAAATTCCATTATCTTGGAAGCCTCAGACTCTGCCATTTGCTTTTATTTCAGTTCGAAAGAGATTTGAAGTGCCTGAAGCTGGCAACACAAAGCTTGATTCATTACCTGTTGGTAAATTTATAACTTCAGATTTGTTATCCAACCACCAATCCCGAAGAGCTGTGCATGACATCACCATGAAGACAAGGAGTTTGTAACGGAGCTGTGCCTCCAAGCTGTGACTTAGCAGCTAGCTCCAGGAGGAAGGCACCACCTTTCAATGGAAGGTGTGGAAGTGCAATAGGATAATAATCCCAAGCAGCATGGAAAGCATCAAGTGCAATGGGATAGCAATCTTCCACAACACTGTTTTCTCTCTGTAAAGATGAGAGACAAAGTTGCCTGGCATTGTGAGGAGGGAAGGAGAAGTGACCCCTGGAGACTCCAGCAGAACAGATGATGTTTCCAGTAGCTAGTAATGTTATTAATTGCCGTCCACCTGTTGTAGCAGTGCAAGTCCATCCCAGGCCCCTCAGCCACTTTTCCAGGCTCCATGCTAGAGCAGAAAGCAAAGTAGGGCCAGGAGGAAAACTCTCGGGGACAGCCCAGAGTCCATCATAGGAGCTCAACAGCACACATAAAAGATCCAGTTCCTCTCTGATCACAACCTTGAAAAGACTGGGTAAAAGGTCACACACAAAACTTGTATCTGAAATCAGATTAATCTATATAAAGGTTTTTGACTGGCAGGAAGATTTAGATTTAGATTAAGATTTAGAACTGTGATGTGACATCATGTGCATGTCTAACAAGGGCTTTGATTGACAGGCCATCAATTATTGCATGTGTCTTTAGGGATAATTACGTCTGTTGAATAGCACTGTATTATTTGAAGAAAAAAGGGGTAACATTTTAAACTTGATCTTTCTTCTGCCACATGATATAGCATGAGAGAGAATGTTTAATTTATTATCTGGAAATCCATTTTCTAAATGAATTCTGTCCACATCCTTTCCTCTGAGTTGGAGGATGGTAGGCTATAAACTGGGCAGCTACCAAAGAGAGCACATGAAAGAACTTCAGCAAAAATATTTTAAATAAAAGAAACACCAAAAAACTTGTAATTTTTAAATACCAGCTCTCAGCCACCTGCTATCTGTTGTGTATAAGGGGCAACTCCCAAGGAAGAGAACTGCAGCTGCATCCACTTATTTTGCCCTTGCAAGCAGATTCTCAGCTGATGTAAAATGACAGAGCCTATTGCACTCAGTGGCATAATTTTGCAGCAGCTGAGAACATGTGCTTGAGACTCTAAATTAGCCTTCAATGGAAAGTTGTGTTTCTGTAAGCTGGTTGGCTAAATAAGGACATGTCTATAAAACTGCAAATATTGCAACAAGACAGCAAAGAGGAAGACAGAAGAAGTAGTTGCTCAGAGCCCAGCTCTTTGGGGGAAAATTGGTGGAAAATGTTCCTGTTACAAATTTGCTTTAAATTCTAAGCTGTCCTCTCAAGCCTTGTTTGGCTGCATGGGGTGTAGAGCAAGCATCATAGTACAGCGTTCAAATATCTGTCAGTGGACTCTGCCTTGAACTCCATGTGTTGCTTTGATTTTACATTCCCAGTAGTTGCATGAACTCAGAAAAGCACTACAGAATAAAGCTATGGCAGGAAAAAGATCTGTGTGTAGAACAAGTTATAAAGAGCAGAAAAGCAACTGAACCACCTAGAGCCCTACTTATTGATTTTTTGGAGTAGAAAAATGGCGAGAAGTTGAGACTGCTGCAGAAGGATGTAAATTCCTCAGCTCTGGCTGGGGGCATCAAGTGGCAGTAGCAAACAGATCCCTGTGGCTGAGTGATGTGTCTGGATGAGACACAGGGCTGGAGAGTTCCATCCCATTGAACTACTGATGCCTTTGGTAGATGAAAGAAAAACTGGTTTTGCCCTTGCACTATTGACCGAATTCTGCAGTTT